ACTAACCAAGATAAAACACGTGGCAAAAGGTACCTGTGAACTCTGAGAGTCAAAGAATGATAGCTGGCTTTTGGAAGTGTCTAGTTGTTATGGATTTGGCATTAGTGGTTGGATCCAAAGTTTAATACAATGTTTATTGATGTTTATTGTGATGATAATTCCCCAAGTATAGCGATATCTTGTGTAAAGTCAATTATACCAAAAACTATTAGCAGGAAGATGATTCAAAGTACTGATTATACTGGTTACATGGCTTTAACGGAGGATGGTAAGGAGGAGGATAACCCAGTCGATGTCCCTGGTACTGAGACCTTGATTTGAGACCAAATTTAAGTGTGTGGATGTGACAGTAGTCACGGGGTAAAAGTGTCAGACGCAGGAAGCACAAAACAAGTGGAAATCACACAGCTCCGCACTGCGTCTGTTGAAGGTGACCAGACCTACAGCATCTGGGGTCAGGCCGATGGTCACGGCTCTCCTTGACGTACCTACGGAGAGATGCCTTCAGCTGCCCCAGCCCCCTCACGTCTGAGGACTGGCTAGAAAGCAAGGGGATTTGTCTCTTACCCAATTTATTTCTCCCTTACCCACACCTACCCTTTCCCTTCACGCAACACCTTCCTTATGCTGTTAAATGAGGGAAGGTGTTCTGCTTTCTGCTTTTTAACAACACAGCCTGTGGACTTCATCTTTGCATTCCACACAAGAAGATGGGCACTCTCCCAAAGTGCATCAGCCCTTCCTTTTTCTACTCAGGCCACCAGTCTTGCCTAGATTCACATTTCATTTCACATCATCCCGAATCGTACGTACAAATGCTAACTATGAGAACAAGCCATAGTTATTTTTCCTGGGCACTGTTTCCTTTCAAATAAATATAAACACATTTACATTAAAAGTATACGAAACATGTTCTTTAGTCTGGAAAAAAAGCAAAACCTGTGGTCAACACATCAACAGTTACAAATGTCGACTTGAAACCTGTGTCGTAAAATGTAAAATTCACTCAAGACTACTCATTACCACAAAAGTTTATGTTTTCATGGTTTAGAAAAACTACTTCATTCTGTCACTCACATTTGAAGAAAAAATTAAAGTAGCAAAGTCTTCCATTTAATTACTGAAGCATTTTGGTCCTCTTGGTACAGCTGGTTAGTTCATGGTAGCTTTTTGTTTATTTATTTTTGTTTACAAAGTCTCATTCTTCCTTTTGTACATCTGTTGCAGAGGAGGGTCGTGGTCCATTTGACCTAGAAACTTTGGCAGAAGGAGTAAACATATTCACAAAGCTGACATTGCTTTAAAAGCTGGTGGCAACGGGCTTTTTTAGCTTCTATCTCCAATCCCCTGCACAGCACACTGCTATGGTTTCTGGTGTTTGGTATTTCAACTTTTGGTGTTATGCTTTCATTGCGTTACCTGTGTACATTGCGACTCTGTTCATCCAAACACTGGCAAAAGTACTTTAAAATTTGATACTGTTTATAGTAAAAATAAGCTATTTAAGCATAGAAAAGGAAAAAAAAAAATCCATTTAAGTTGCCAAGTCATTATAAACTTTTACATACACCATTGTCTACACCTGATTCTCCCACCCCCATCTGTTTGTTTTCTTTAATTTTGTGGTACTAGACTTATGGTTAATGGCTCAGGTGACAGAAACATCTAATGACCCAAATTCTGTAGTGCAAATAAATCATACATGTTTGTGCTGAATTGAAAAAAAATAAGGGCCAACTGATTTTCATTTTACACAAGTGGTTCCATTGTGGGAAAATATGGTGAGACAAGTAGAATTTGGCCTTAAGAGCTAATAGCTATATTTTTCTAACTGTGTGCTGCAACCAAGAACTGTAAAAAGTGCCTTCTGTATATTTAAGTGCTTAATACAAGCAGAATGTAAAAGGTTTTTGTTTCCTATAGAAAAGTAATACAGGCAGGTTTAAAATTTACCACCTTAACTTTGGTTTGTGTAAAAAAAAAAAAAGATCTAATTAACAGAGCCCCTCCAAGTAGGAAGCAGACAAACATAGGGAAGGAGTGATACTTGAATCTATGAAGGCTACACTGGAAATACGTTTGTGTACTACAGGTACAACTAAAACACCTAAGAACTTTTTAAAAACAATTCCCTGTTTATTTGTGCTGTCAAAAAGAAAAAAGGCATTTTCTCTTTTTCTACTCAAAATAAGAGGTAGAGCCTTCCCACAGGGGCACTTAGGGCCTATGGAAAACATCAGGAAGCTGAAAAGCTGCAGAGAATTAATGGGAATATGGTCCAGTACAACTCCCTAACTTTGTCATTTAGAGGCTTAATTCTAATCAACACTACAAATCTTTGAATATCTACTTGTCAAGAAGAATAGTTAAGACTGTAGCTGTGGGATTTAAGCTGTTTCAAAAGACAGAAATAAAACTGAAACGAAATAATAACGCACAAAAGGTTTCGAATACCAAAAAGTCAAAATGTTTCCGAATCTGAATCGTTTTCATTGTACCCATCCTCCGTTCCTACGTTATTACTCAAGGGCTTATTGTAGGAGTTACTGCTGCCCACAGCGGAGCCATCGCAGAGGTGCGTCCTGCCCAAACTGTCTTTTTTAAAACACACGAAGTTGAAAGCCGTCACTGAGCTGGAAGGGGAGAAAGGCATCATGGTAGCCAAAATGAGTGCCAGGCAGTCAGCCACGTCTTTGTTAGGAGCGCAAGCCAGGGCTGGCGTGTGACCTGGGCACAAAGGCAGACAAGGCATCGGTTAGTCCCGGGGCACGGGGAGCGGCTCCTGGGGCACGTCCGGAGGCGGCGTCGGAAGCAGGAGACGTAGGCTCGGTTACACTCATGCCAGGCAACGGGGGGTGTTACTCGTGTGGAATTAGACATGCTGGGAAAATACACACTTTACGGAGCACTGGAATCGCTGTGACCACAACAAGCACCACTTTTTTTTAAAAACAAAATCAATCAGGCAGCAAACAGACTTCACACTCTGAATAAAAGCAGTTACTACACACGGTTCTCCAGCACAGACAGTGTGGTGAACACAGCACGAGGGGAGTACGGCCACGGGAGCAGAAACTGGCCTCAGTTTCTGCACGGATGAGCAAGTGTCATTCTGAGAACAACTTCCATTAGAACATAAAAGATATTAGTTTTTAAATATTTTGAAGTAATAAGCAATAATTTTAAAGGATTGGTCATCTACTCAACTCAGAAAGCAATTTATTTAGGAATTCAGTTTTAAGACAAGAGAATTAGACCAGTGCATGGGGCACATGTACAACAGGTATGACTACGTGGATGTTTAGTTACCCACATGTACGTTATGTTAGAAGAATAACGGCTGTATTCAGGAAGCATGGCACACACTAAAGGCAAAGTTAACGCTGTACAGATGTCAGTGAAACAAAGAACTGGGGAGCTATTAAATGTTTGTCTTCAGTGCAGTTTAATGTGGCTCCTACCCAAGTGCTGCTCCTAAAGCAGCTCTTCACATAGGCAAATCTTGGAAACCAGTATCCTAATTACACTGGCTACCCAGACATTTTGCAGGCTGCTGTGTAGTACTCCAGCACTTCACAAAAAATTCTGCCTTTATGCTAAGAGCAAACAAATTCTTTTGCGGGTGGCTACATCTTTAAGTGCTGCAGCAACAGTCATCTGAGGCAATGAGTGCTACAGATTCCTACTGCCTCAAGAAAGCCAAGACCAGCCACAGCATGGATGAGTTTGGTGGGTAAATTCAAAACTGGAGTGTGATTTTGTAGCAAACCACCCACATTTAAGCCCCAGTGGCAGTGAACGCACGCCTTAAATGGCATTTCCCCTTTCATTGAGTTCCAAGTGTGAATATTCTTCAGGGCTGCACTTCTACTAGGACTGTAATTTTTCTTTTAAACTGCATATGCAGTTGTTCCTAGAAAAATTACATGTGTATAAAACAGAAACTTAATTTTCATTCATTGCATATATACATATTAGCTGGATCTGTACATCCAATTTTAATGATAAAAACTGTGGTTAGAAGCTAGTCTGGTTCATCTCTCTGTCTTCTATCTCTAAAATCAGATTAGGGCCAGATGACTTCAGCAGAACTCATTCATGCAAGTATATCTATCTAGGTAGCATTTGTTTAATAGTAAATACTCACCACTCAGTTCTTTTCATCCATAGATCTCAAATGTCTTGCAATGATGGGTGAGTATTATTATAGTTACTTTAGAGGTATGGGAAGATGGAGGTACCAAATTGTTACATTAATGCCATGAAGTCAGTATGGTAAGAAAGACCAGCTTATTTCAGGAGGACATTTTTGAAAACAGTAATTACAGAAGCACAGCCCTCTATGGGCTTTATAACGTTTAGGGAAGGGCTTCTTTGAGATCTGAAACAAAATTATCAGATTCATTAACTAATAATGTATCTTATGAGGCAACAGTAAATTACTTGCATCTTGGATTAGGTCAGACAATTGGTAAGCACAAGCTTTGATCTCAGAATGAACTAGGACACAATCAAACATATGTTGATGGTTTTCTTCCTACCCATTAAAACATGCGCTGACTGAATGCACAATCCTTAATTCTTCTGCAAGGCGTCAGAATTATCCGGTGCCACTTGCATGTTTAGGAAATTCAAGTTACCACTGCACTCAAGCATTAAAAAAGACTAGCTGTTGACAGTACATGCAAAATGAACAGTAAAAGGGACCACTGTGATGTTTAGAATACATTTTTATATTAAAGAAAAATAAACGGTATATCGAATTTTTTTTTTTAACAGGTACTCACACAGCTCATTGTCTGTTCTTGGAAGGATAAAAGCATCAATGATGTCTACCATCATTTAAGTCTACTGCTTCAGTCTGTTGTAAAATTACCTGTTGGGTCTTACTGTAGGTTGTCAAAGTGTATTATTTACTTACCATTTTCATCTACTGCTAGGACACATGCTCCTTTGGCTAGCAGCTCTTCAACCACCATCTTTAAGCCATTTCGTGCAGCAATATGGAGAGGTCTACAAAAGCATAACAACTAAATTCAAGTTCAGTTCAAAACAGACTTTTTTAAAAAGTTAGGCAATGCTTAAAGCATAGCCAGCATAGCAAAGAATGTTTTCCTTCTTTCGACCATTACAATTATAATGTAGACATTACATTATATTACAGCCTTTAAAATAAATAATCCTCATGTTTCACATCTATAAAACATACACGCAAGACAAATGTTATTACCTTTACATATACAAATATTGCTTAACACTTTCCAGCCTACAGGCTTTCTTTAAAAAGCTCTCCTTTTTCCACTGTTTGCAGCACACAACTGACATTTAAAGGCAAATTAATGTAAGACTGAAGAAATGCCTTTGGTCCATCCTTAATTCTGGACACTACAGACTGTTCAAAATCATTGTATTGCATTTTTATCCTTGAATATTCAATCGCTAATATCTGTTACTGCAGAGCAGCTGGTAATTAAAAACAATCACTGGTTTGCTCCTTTCCTGGGCCAACAACCAGTGCTCCTGTTTAGGGGCTGCTAGTGGGACAGGAAAACCCATTTCACATTGGAAGGAGGGAAGAGAACTCAGACAGAATGGATTCTTCCACAAGCACTAGACACTCTGCCACCTGAACTCGTGGTTGAATCTTCTACTGTGGGATTCCCCCATACCAGTCAACAGTTGCAGCTGGAGTGAGAGTATTGATGGCTCTAACTCTGCTGATAATGTATGGTATGGACAGGAGTTGCACAGAAAATGCCACCTAAAAAAGACCCCTGAAAATTCCATGTACCAATTTAAGTCTAAATAAATTATTTAGATTTAAGGTGAAGCTCAAAAAGCTAGGAAATGCCAGATGTATGCTTACACATTTGCATGATCAATAGACATTTTTATATAGCCTCCAAATAACTGACCTCATATAATTTTTCCATCAGGCCACGTATAGAATTGACATCAAAGGAATCAAAATTAAAAGTGAAAATGCAACACAAATCTGCTCTTTTCAAGGGCCAGCACTCAAAAAAAATCAAAGTATCTTTGTTGTTCTATGAAAAATAGATACTAATTTGATATGTTAAATTGGAATCTTCTGTTAAGTCAACTGAACTTGAGAGGATCAGGCTATACTTACGTCTGCAATGCATTATTTTTTGCATTAATAAGGCTCTGTTCTTGTATCTTGTCAAGTATTAACAAGGCACATTTTTCATGACCCTATAGTTGGGAAAAAAACCAAATTGTGTTAATTTAAGGAGTTTGAGGCAAAAGAAACATCACATACAAAAGTAAATGTAATAACTCCATTTGAAATACAAAACACACTACTCAAGTAGATAAGGATGTGTAGTGGGTGCACTGTCGGAGCCTTAAAATACCATTTATGAACGACCACTGCTAGGGTGCTCTAGCACATCTAGAAATTCAGACATCCACCTGTCTTTCAAAGCTCCATTCATTACACATGAGTTCAGCTCCTCAGCTTCCAGAGAAGATCACTATTCCGAGAGAGAGCATGCAGTGGATGATTTATTAGAACTACACAGTAACACAGGAAGAGATCACAATCTCAGGAACTAATCCGGGACTTTCTGGGTCTTTAAATGCCTTTCTGTATTATGATTAAGCTACTACTAAATCCTTTCTGTATGAGAGCTCTAACAGTGAAACTTTGGAAATAATACAGATCCAGGCCTTATTTATGATACTGTTTCAGCACAGCAGTTTGCAGATGCTGAGCCTACAGCCCTGGCAGGTCAAGAGCTGCCTGAAGGACCTTGAGAATTCAGTGAGGCTCATGTGTCTGCAGAAACTGGAGTAATGTCACACTGGAATCCAATCTGTGGATAGGAGCAAAGGAAAAGGCCCAGGAGAGGGAATCCCATGGGCATTTTTTCTTGCAGAAACAGCAGTAGCAATTGGAATTCAGAGGAAGAAAGGGTGAGAAAAGACCCCACCACCAATCCAATCAATGCCTCTGGTTTCACTGCTACTCTGTTAAGGGAGAATTTGGGGTTCCTTCCACAGAAATTGGAGAATAAGAAAAAAGAATAAATACTTTAAAAGGTTTTTTTTTTTTCCTTTGCCACTAAGCCTATGTAAAGCTATTTTACCGTGAGATTATTTGGTAAAAATCTTACAGAGTTTTCCTGTTATTTCTCTTACTTTCCTTTCAGCTGTCCTAAGAGGCATCTACATTTCTTGATATACAAAACTTGGAAACAGACTTGAGAAAAAGCTTGGAACAATATTCCCTTCCTCACCACAAGTCTGACCACCACATTTCCATTGCAGAAAAATATTTAGGAGTATACACACACACACAGACTATGACGAGAACAGAAGCACACAGAGGTCTTCAACTTACTTTACTGCTAGCCAAGTGCAAAGATGTATTTAATTCCTTATCTTTTAACGTTAGGTCAGCCTTGGCAATGTTCACCAAGAAGTCTGAGGTGTAGAATAGAAATCAACAAAGAGACCAAACAGGCAGGTGAACATGTAAAAACAGAGGAAAAAAATTACTATCTCAGTAAATGTGTGCAAAAATGCTAATCAATACAGCCTATATCTGACACAAGTGCTATGAACACGAAGTGAAAATAATGAATGAGAACAGATGAATCCTGTGCAGTTAATCAGCAAGCAAGGGCAGAGGTAACAGCTCATTCACTGTGTCCCAAACTGTCCAGCTTATATTCATCTTTATTTATTTATAAACTTCCCTATTTGCAGATCAGCAAGATCTGCCTGAATCACCTTCTCCTGAGAACATCTGTGGATGCTGCTCTGAGAGGGCTAAGGAGGTATAAAGAATTTAGGGTGCAGTCTGTGCTTTTGAAGCTAGGGAGGAGGGAATTCTGTTAAGCCAGTATAGCTCTATTCAGCATGCCCACAGTATATATCCTAGCCTGGGCAAGCAGCTGCTGCTAGCTGCCATTTTAAGCACAGGACTTCCTATAATAGAGCAGAAAAAAAGTTACACAATCTATTTTCACACATCTAGTTTTACTGTTTCATAAAATCAAGGAAGTCAACAGGAGAGGAGATCCCTCCTCCCTTCGTGGTCTTAGGGAGGAAGCAGGGCTCAAGTTTGTTACTGCAGACGTCCACCAAGACTCCTGAGAAACAACGGCCGAAGAGACAATCCTTTTTTTACAGATGCAAAGGTAGCTCCTTACAGGCCTCCAACACAACTTCTTTTTCTCCCTGAGCTTTCAGAGGGCAAAATCCCCCGGGGCCCGGACTCACCCACGGCGCCGGCGCGGCCGTTGTGCGCGGCCAGCATCAGCGGGGTCCTGCCG